ATTAGATGTAAATGAATAAGATCATTAGACTCTGACAGTAGGGAAGGAACTGAGACTGGAGATGGCAGGGAGAAACTTGGAACAGGAAGGGAGAAAATGAGATGCATACCAATTCTACAGTTTTGCCAAGGGCCAGTCCTGATCACAGTGCCCCCCAGAACAGTGGCCCCATGAGAAGATGAGCAAAATTAACATGGCCCTCATCTTCATTCTTCCTTTTGCAGGCCTTATGGAGCCGCAACCCCTACTAGATCACACCTTGATCCTGAAAAGAACCAAGGGGAGTCCCCTGTCTTTCCAGGAACCTGAGGTGTTTTCGTGAATGGACCAGGTATGTGGGAATTTAGCAAATTCATACTGAAATCCAGTCATCATGGCCACCCTAGTCCTCCCCAGGGTTCTAAGAGCATCTGGCAGTAAGAGTAGGATGTGACTTGAGAAGCTGTAGGAAGTACAGTACACCCTTCCCCCAAGCACCTTCCCCAACACATAAACATTTCAAGATATCTCTCCTTCCAGATTCCACTGAAATCCTCAACTAGAGATTCTTTCTTTGGGTTTTACCTTTACATTGTCCTAAGTGATCTAGTATAAAACGTGAATACCCTAGAGGTGAAGGCATTTGAAGCAATGATTAAGCCCTGTTGCTTCTATGGAAAGTAATTTAGCTGCTTGCCTTTTTCTGTGACTTTCATGTTGGGGCACTCTGGCACCCCAACATGAATGTACTTAACACTGCTAAACTGTACACTTTTGAAAATGGCAGAGATAGTAAATTGTGTATATTTTACCACAATTTAAAAAAAATGTATATGAGATATTCCCCTGTCTGCTTTGACTGTACTCTTTTCAGAGGAAGAAACTGAGGCCACCAAGAACCTGTCCCCCTTCAAATCACAGTTAATGAGGGATTGGTGGGGTTACCTGGTTTCATGTTCTAAGATCTTACATAGAAACAAGAATTTCTTTAATCAAATTATTTGTCTTCCTGCACAGGCTGTAGGTTGTGCCAAGTAATAAAAGGGGCTGAAAAGTGATTTCCCACCTAACTTCTCCTAAAGTCGTTTTGATGAATGATACAAGTTTACTTAGGGTTGACTGTTGATCAGCCTAATCTGTTTGCCCTTGACAGTCCTCAGTTATGCTCCCTTACCTTCACAGAACATTCTAGATTGATCTTCCCCCTAACTCCCTCATAAAGCCCACAGCCCACGATTCTCTTCATTCTCTTCTCTCGTGCTCTCTCTCAATTCCCGACCTGTGTCTTCACTCCCATCTAGATTCCAGTCCTCGTGGAGCCCTGAAAATACAGTATCATTGTCATAATTTTATAAAAGGTACTGTGTACATATACGTAAAGGGGAGTAGAGTACAGTAGTGAGACAGTTACGCACAGATTCCTAGTCATCCAAGATTCTGAGAATGGGGGAGATAGGCTCAGAAATCTGGGAACTAGTTGCCAAGTCTCTGCAATCCTCCTGTTTAAGCAATGAGAGTACACTCTACATAGTGAAGAATTTTTTCTTCCCCCTTCCCCTACGCAACTGCTTAAGGGTACTCCCCCAAGGAAGGAAAATAAAAATATAAACTTAACACCTTATGCTTCTATAGCTACTGTACTTCTCTTAACCCTTTCCCATATGTCATCTCATTTGATCCTCAAATCCCCACAGCTGTGAAGGCCCAGAGAGGTTAAGCAGTGCACTCTGAGAAACCAAGCCTGCTAATCAGTAAAGCTAGGGCTGGACCCCAGTCTTTCTGATTTTGGTCCTGTGCTCTCTCCATGACACAAGCCAAGGTTGTTTGTAAAGCAGCCCAGTCCCTTTTCTCTCTGTTGATACAAATCATGTGCAGATCTTTGGTTTCTAAAAGAAATGGTAAATTGGAAAAGAGATGATGGTAACTACAAACAAATGAAAGACCCCATTTATATCCCTCTGGAAAAGTGAATCAACAACACAGAATTATGTCTGTAATGGAAGAAATGCTTGGTACTTTTTGCACTGTTAATGAGCACTTTCAGACATTGGAACTCAAAACATCTCCTAGTCCTGCTTTGTTGAAAGCCTCAAGTTACAATTAAGGGTGGGTCTTCTTCTGCGGTATTATTAGGGAGCAAAGATCTGAACCTGAAGTGAAACAGGATCTTCTTACACAGAAAGAAGAAATAGACTGCTGGGTAGGTTGGGGGAAAAAAGCATTCTAATATATTAGAATCACATTAAGGATAAAGCTAACATTTTCCCAATTTGTACGGTCACAGCTTATGTTATTCAGGGATACATTATCAAAATTGGGGGTTGGTCAAACCCCTAGTTTTTCTTTCCTCTCTCTATCTTTTGCCAAGCAGGATATGATCACTTCAGTGCTGTTAACACCCCCAGTGGGTAATAGAGTGTTCAGACTTCTGGAAAACTTCATTATCTGGGACCTAGTTGCACCCCTGAAAGTGTTTGAAGAAAGCGACTGGGCAGTAAAGCAAATTGTTCTTCCAAGGCCAGTTCACTTTTCTCACTGAGAGAGTTCTGTAGCTACTCTTGCTACATGGTCTTAATGGGTAATCTAATTATCTTCAAAAGGTTAAAATATTTTTAAAAGCAGGAATATTTTTGCAGCGGAATTCGTTTTCCACAGCTGGCACAATAATTTTTATTATGGGCATTGCCCCAACTGCTCCCAGCTTCCTTCCTTTTTCCTTCCTTCCTTCCTTCCTTCCTGTAACTTGTATAACTAGCTATATCACAGCTGGGTTCCTACCCACTAATCAATGGAAGATAAGAACATAGGAAAAATCTTTTTCCTTCCTTTTTTTCCTTCTGTTACTTGTATAACTAGCTATATCACAGCTGGGTTCCTACTCACTAATCAATGGACGATAAGAACCCTCTCTCCCTTCCTTCCTTTCCTCATTTATGGCAATATATTTTTAAATGTCTATGAAAAACATGGTACAATTGTTTACAAAGTTTCAACACTTAAATCGGTGATTATGCTTCATTATCAAAATAGTCTCGTGTCCTCAATTATGCCAGATAAATGAGAGACCTTGTACTGGAAATACATTGCTGAGGACTGGCCCCCCACAATGCACCCAGCATGGCAGAATATCCGTGTCCTCCCTCCACACTCCACTGAAAACCTAGAGATGACTTTCACAGCATCCTCTCTCTTCCTGTCATTGGGAATGCTGCCTAATCCCTGGCCCCCACCTGCAAAGAGAGTGGGCTATCTTAGGGCTGAAACTAGGACTAGAGAAGGACCAATGGGGCAAGGTCAGTTTATCTTCAAGTAGTAGAACTTGGGAATGAAAGTAAGTTTATTTAACTTATTAATAGTTCCAGTAAAATACAAAATGGGCTACATGGTCAAAATCAATGCCTTGAATGAGGATTGTATATTATCAATGCATTTAGTTAATGTGTGTGTGTGTGTGTG